CCCCGCCAGACCCCGCGGCCCCGCCTCTCCCCGTCAGCCCCGCCTCTCCCCCAGCTCCTCCCCGCCAGCTCCGCGGCCCCGCCCCTCTCGCGTCCTGGAGGGCCCAGCTGCTCGCCCCTTCTCTCCGCGGCCCCGCCCCTCCGCGCCAGCTCCGCCTCTGCCCGCGGCCCCGCCCTGCCCACCCGGCCTCTACCCGCCAGCCTCTCCTTCGGTCTCGCTCCTCCCCGCCGCTCGCTGCTTCCGGCTCCCATGTGTCTCCGAGCCCGCTGCGCAGCCCTCGCTCCGCTTCTCCGCACCTTTCGGCCTGCTCCTGCTGCGGCCATGAGCACTGGCACTTTCGTTGTGTCGCAGCCGCTCAATTACCGCGGCGGGGCCCGCGTGGATCCCGCGGACACCTCCGGCACCGAGAAGGCGTTCGAGCCGGCAACCGGTAACCGGGCGGAGACCGGGCTGCGGGGCCTGGGCGGCGGCGGGGCCTGGGCTCCGGTTGGCGCTTCCCCGCCCCACTCGTGGAGGTGTTCTACTGCCCTGAACCTTCATTTAGTGCGTTCGGCAGACGTTTGCTGGGCATAAGTGAGTGACGGTGTGGAGAATAGAGTTGTGTGTGCAGGCAGCTAAGGACTCCGTGCAAACGCGAATGCATCTGGACAGGAATAGAGAGAGAGTCTAGAAAACTGGTAAAGCTGGTGAGTTGCGTCGCGGGGGGGATCGTGGGTCGTGCTTCAACGGCCTGAACAGAGTCTACAAAGCCACGGTGCGTGAGGTTGTGCCCCTGTTAGTTATTAATTTTTAAAGTTAGAACGGCAGTAATGTATTCAACTTTGCATAGGAAAGGATTAGGATTTCCAGAAGGACGCAGGTGAAAACATTACTGCCGACAATGGAGAAGCATTCACAGATGACTCTAAGGAGCATGAATGAGGGCTTTGTTGCGATCTCCTAGCGTTAAAATATTTCTTGCATGAATTAGAATTGGGAAAGGGAAAAAAGCCCAGGTTTTATCCAGTGCTTGAGGTTGCCAAATACCGTGCTGGGCCCTGGATTTGCTCTGAGAATTCTGAAGATCACACAGCTAATGAGGAAGAGGTTTTGGTTTTGGTTTATGTTTGTTTTGCTGAGATTTATGGAATATTTGTGGGGAGAAAAATATAAATGTGTTGTGCAAACCAGAGTGGCAGGTGGCCAGAGGGACAAAACTGGATTGCGAAGGACTGCAGAATTTAGGATTGATCCATCCCGCTAAACCACGGAGCAGTAGTAACCTTGTCAGAGCAGGAAGGGACCCCAGGGATCAGCGGACTCTTCTGGAGGAAACAGCCTATCCACCCCCACCCCTGTAGTCCTACAGGAGAAGGAAAAATTGCTCTTTATTTTAATTACCTACAGTGTGTGCAATCCTTAGCCACTGCCCTTACCAACTAGCTATTCAAATTTGTAACAAATTGCAGGCTTGTGAAATCTTTCTGGAAAAAGCAGAGTCCCTGGAGTTCTTGGGGGACGGAAAAGGAACTGCCGATTTGGTGTACTTAAAGAATTCTTGTTGGTAGAGTCAGTCACAGCCCTTGGGATGCGGGGTTCATATTTTGCATCAGGATAGGGAATAAGGTTGGAGTAAGAAAAGGAGAGACTGGACTTTTTTATTTTTGAGAAAAATTTTTTCTTTAAGATTTTATTTATTCATTTGAGACACAGAGATACAGACAGAAGGACAGAGCATGAGCAGGGGGAGAGGCAGGCAGGGAGAAGCAGGCCCCCCGCTGAGCCAGGAGCCTGATGTGGGGCTCGATCCCAGGACCCTGGGATCATGACCTGAGCTGAAGGCAGACGCTTAACCATCTGAGCCACCCAAGCGCCCCATGAGAAAAATTTTTTGTGTTTAAGGATAGGTTTTCCTGATATTGCTGTTTATTAACCACACTCATCAAGTGTCTCAGTAGTATGATATGACTTATGTAGAACATAGACCAGTGATATCAAATGAGAGTTTATAACCCAGGGGACTGAGGACTTTCAACTTTGATTTCGCAAGACCCCTGAGATTCTCAAACATTGTTTTTGTTTTTTTTAAAGATTTTATTTATTTGACAGAGCGACACAGCGAGAGAGGGAACACAAGCAGGGGGAGTGGGAGAGGGAGAAGCAGGCTTCCCTCGGAGCAGGGAGCCCTATTCGGGGCTCGATCCCAGGACCCTGGGATCATGACCTGAGCTGAAGGCAGACGCTTAACGACTGAGCCACCCAGGCGCCCCTGATTTTCAAACATTGTTAAGGAGAGTTGCAAAACCCAGCTATAAAATAGAGGAGGAAGGGGTTCCTAACCTGAAGTTTGTGCTGTGCTTAGGGCAAGGACGCATTCTCTCTCTAATTCTGTGATGCAGTGAAGTACACAGTTTTCTAGAGAGAAGTCTGCACCTTTTGTTAGATTCTTTTTTTTTTTTTAATATTTTGTTTATTTGACAGAGAGAGACACAGCAAGAGAGGGAACACAAGCAGGGGGAGTGGGAGAGGGAGAAGCAGACTTCCCGCGGAGCAGGGAGCCCAAAGCAGGGCTCGATCCCAGGATCCTGGGATCACGACTTGAGCCGAAGGCAGATGCTTAATGACTGAGCCACCCAGGCGCCCCCTTTTGTTCAATTCCTAAAGGGTTCAGTCACCTCAGAACAGAGTTAAGAACTGTTGGCATAGGGGTGGTCATGAAATCAAACCATAGTTGAAAACAAGAAGGGGGTCACTAAAAGGGAATTTGGATACACAGTACTTTCTTTATTTTATTTATTTATTTATTTATTTATTTTAAGATTTTATTTATTTCTTTGACAGAGAGGGACACAGCAAGAGAGGAAACTCAGACAGGGGGAGTGGGAGAGGGAGAAGCAGGCCTCCCATGGAGCAGGGAGCCCAGTGCGGGGCTTGATCCCAGGACTCCGGGATCATGACCTGAGCCCAAGGCAGACGCTTAATGACTGAGCCACCGAGGCACCCCCACAGTACTTTCTTTAAATGGGAGGCGACAGTTGGAGGTAACACTGTGTTTCCGGTTACAGGTCGAGTGATAGCCACCTTCACTTGCTCAGGAGAGAAGGAAGTAAATTTGGCTGTGCAAGATGCCAAGGCCGCCTTTAAAATATGGAGTCAGAAATCTGGCATGGAGCGCTGTCGAATTCTTTTGGAGGCGGCCAGGATAATAAGGGTATGTATGTTTCACTTTTTTTCTCTTTCAGAAATGTCCCCCTTGAGTTGCTCTGAGGGTTCTCTGTGATGGTTTGCAGTTAGACTTTGATGCTCTGTTAGGCGATGCCTTTTTTATGAAATTAAAAATCATTTTCGTGTGATCCCCTGGGTATCTAGGACATGCTTTCTTTGAGTAATTGCCTTCTGGATCCTGGCTCTCTGTGACCTCTCCCTTGGCAGGTTGTTTTCTCCATCTTTGTTGTCATGTGTCCTTTGCAGCTTGTCTCCTTTTTTAACTCTGTGTACTTGTCCCGAACAGTTTATTTTTTCCTTTGATGACTCAAGTCTACCGTTCTTTCTTCAGGCACATTTTCTACCTTAATTGCCTGGGAAGATGTCAGATTTATAGATGTTCCCTTCTTAAAAAACAAAGTTGGGGCACCTGGGTAGCTCAGTCAGTTAAGCATCGGACTCTTGATTTTGGCTCAGGTTGTGGTCTTGGGGTTGTGGATTGAGCCCTGTGTCAGGCTCTGCACTCAGCGGGGAGTCTACTTGAGACTCTCCCTCTCCCTCTGCCCCTCCCCCATCCTCCCTCCTCCTCGAATGCTCTCTCTCTCTCTCTCTCAAATAAATAATCTTAAAACCCAACAAAGTTAAAACTTCTTACAGTCTTTTTTTTTTTTTAATTTTATTTATTTTGGGTAATCTCTATACCCAACATGGGGCTCGAACTCATGACCCTGAGATCAAGAATCCTCATGCTTCACCGATTCAACCCCTAAGCTTTTTACAGTCTTAAAAAGCAAAAGGACTAGAGATGCTTATTACAGAAAATTAGAAGATTCAGAAGCATGTACACCAAAATATGAATTGTGGTTATCTCTGAGTGGTAGAAGTCTGGTGATTTTTGTTCTCACGAGTGTGTTAAGTCAGAAACTGACGTGTCTGAGAATTACCATACATACATATATACGTACATATATATAGTGACAGGAGACACGAGGCTTGCGGGATTAGAGAAAGATGTTTTTTTTAAAGATTTTATTTATTTGTTTATTTGAGAGAGAGAGAGCACAAGCAGAGGGGAGAGGCAGAGGGAGAAGGAGGCTCCTCACTGAGCCGGGAGCCTGATGTGGGGCTCGATCCCAGGACCCCGAGATCATGACCAGAGCCGAAGGCAGACGCCTCACCGACTGAGCCACGCAGGCGCCCCGAGGAAGATACGGTTTATCATTCACAGCAAAATGCAGCAGTCAGGGTACTACCTTAATACTAGTTTTCTGAGCTCCAGTCCCCACGGGGAGATGCAGTGAGAGCCACTGATTACCCTGTCACCTGCAGAGGTTGCCCCCCAGCAGGGGAACCCTAAAGTTATGAGACTCAGTTTAGCAGGAGCTGGTCTCACGTCTGTGTCTGCTCTACCCTGGAGCGAGGGAGATGGCTCACTAAGCAGATCGCCTCCAGGGTTCAGGGGGAAGGTGTTACCAGCTTTATTACCTTGGAAAGTTAGCAGGTGTCTCCAGACATGGGAAGCAGTGAGCTTTCCATCTGCACATCTCTCTGGGCACCTCTGTCTTTAGGCAGACACTGTATCTGCCTTCCAAGGCCTTTGCCGCTCAGCTGGCCAGTGTCCTCTGCTTGGAAAGCCTGGGCCACACAGAGATGAAGCAGTGTTCGTGGAGGATTTCCTCCCAACTAAGTATTTTCCTCTGTCGTTAAAAAATTATTTTGAGGGGCTGGGTATTTACCACAAAGATACAAATGTAGGGATCCGAAGGGGTACATGCACCCCGATGTTTATAGCAGCAATGTCCACAATAGGCAAACTGTGGAAAGAGCCAAGATGTCCATCGACAGATGAATGGATAAAGAAGATGTGGTATATATACACAATGGAATAT